CTCATTCTCAAGAGACCATGAACGACTCTCCATTAGTTTCGGCATGATTATAATAGTCTCATTCGTCCTCATTCTCAGCTCTCCTATATCACTTACGAACTGAAAATAGACGATAATTTTTCTTTCAGGCTCTAGCTGTGCAAGCCATGGTACCAATCATCTGCTTTCTGCCAATAAACCTACTGTTCATATTAACCATGGTTTTGAAAGTGGAGCTTGTTCTGTTTAAATATCTGATTAGTGCACTCATTGCATTGCCATGTATACTTGATCCTCTGTGTACGGTTTATTTTGTTCCATCATTCAGAACATGGGTATTAAAAAAATTTGCAAGAGTTCCATTGCTGAAAAAGTTATCGCAAGTCACAACGTGAGTATCCGATGAGGTACAGTTTTTATTCTAGGATCCGTACTGCAGCATTGTAATGCCCTTCAGATATCAAGACACTATAATCAGGTGGAGCCAATCACGTTGCATACAGACAGAAAAGATGTCAGCGATCACTCTCCTGAGGGTGTTGACCGACGCGCAATTAACAGCGAAAGATTTGACCTCGGCGATCAAGTATTGCACACTCTTAGCACGCTTAGCGGGGTACATCCCCCTTCCTCCCCCCACCGACTATCTAATCACTTGTTGCAGTATTAGATAGTAATCTAATCACTTGATGCAGTGATTAGATAGCAGAGAGAGCGTAGTGTTGAAGAGATGAAGAGTCGCATCAATGCGCAAATCAACGGGCAAGGAAGGGTCCCATTTCTCGGGTTTCGGGCCGTTTCAAATGGTTTCTTCTTCATCCCTGCTCCACTGACCACCTCTTCCCTTATTTCCAAACTTTTCATTATTAATTCTGACTTTAAGCGGCCGTATCTTTGACTTTTTCGTCCATTGCGTTATCAATGAAATCATGCTGTTTGCTAGAATTGATTGTCTACCATTTTTGGTTTCAGTTAACCTGAACTAATAAAGTGCCTGAAACACTGCTAATAAAATGTTACAAAGGGAAAAAGTTTTCTATTATTGCTATATTACAACAATAGTCCATGTTGTGCTACAATGCTGCAGTACGGATCCTAGAATAAAAACTGTACCTCATCGGATACTCACGTTGTGACTTGCGATAACTTTTTCAGCAATGGAACTCTTGCAAATTTTTTAATACCCATGTTCTGAATGATGGAACAAAATAAACCGTACACAGAGGATCAAGTATACATGGCAATGCAATGAGTGCACTAATCAGATATTTAAACAGAACAAGCTCCACTTTCAAAACCATGGTTAATATGAACAGTAGGTTTATTGGCAGAAAGCAGATGATTGGTACCATGGCTTGCACAGCTAGAGCCTGAAAGAAAAATTATCGTCTATTTTCAGTTCGTAAGTGATATAGGAGAGCTGAGAATGAGGACGAATGAGACTATTATAATCATGCCGAAACTAATGGAGAGTCGTTCATGGTCTCTTGAGAATGAGGAGTTATTTTTTTGAAGGAGGCAGGAAGTGGGCCGGTCATTTGTTTCCTGTCCAACGCCCTAGCTGTTTTTGTCACATACATGTATTACATACAGAAAAAAGAGGTAGTATCAATAGACTGCCTAGGAGCCTGCTTCAGAGGCAGGTGATACAAAACATTGGAGTCCGGCGAAAGGGGGCCGTAAGAGAGGGGACTATGCACGCTTCACGGCAAATTGTACTTCCCCGTTGTCCTGGCAGGTTCGTATCAATAGCGCGCGCGGGTCTGCACGTCCCCTCGCTGTCGGGTTCACTAGCCTTGGACTCTACTGTTCTAGAAGTGAGGCACAGCATTCCTTCATATCGATTGAGTATGCATCGTTAAGACTCCCCCAGTGCAAAATTTGAGGGACGAGCAATAGTGACGCTTTACTAGCTTCTTGCCTCTCCCTCAGTTTTTTCTTTACCGGTGCGCTTCTTTGCAGATTTACCTTCTTTTCCTAGTTATGCTAAAATGCACCCTACCTGCTCAAGAAGTCCAGGAATGTCGCTGAAAATGCTAGCACAATGACAGCAAATAAAACAGTCAACATTTTTTATTAAAGGAATCTTCCACGGACCATGGACCAGTGGGCGGGACCGGAAGTGGTTTTGCGACGAAATGCATGGTAGGTACGGATCCACGTTCATGGGAAGTTCACGTTCGTGCGTTCGACACGTGGATCCGTACCTACCATGCATTTCGTCACAAAAACTTCCGGTCCCGCCCACTGGTCCATGGTCCGTGGAAGATTCCTTTAACCAACGAATGAATTGTGCTGCTTTTTTCGAGAAAACTGACGGAGAGTTGTATCGGTGGCAGACGCATGTTGACGACTGAATGATCTGAGGTGATGTGCTATCGCTTATCGTTGAACCGCTGCGACTTCAAACCTTGCCTGATGTTATCAATTTCGCGTTGAAGTCGGTGTGGTCACAACTTGTCTAATCCTGCGAAACTCTGCCTCACCTCAATCACCGAAGCCTTGAACAAACTGTGCATGGGCATAGTATAATTCTCTATCCAGAGCGATATTTTGAGAGCCATCCTCAACAGTGAGAACACAACTAGTGGGAAAACTGCGTTAGCTATGTGAACAATTTAAAGCCACGAGTCAGGATTAGGCAACCAGCAGAAGTTCTTCCCAGGGTGCGATAGTGGGCTCCCCAAGCACTGAGGGCGCGACACTATCGCGACCAAAAGTGCGCGGCAATGGCGCTAAGGCCTTGCCCGCCGCGCTGCCCGCGCTGCCAGCGTAATCCACCACGGCATACGTGGTCTCTGCGTACGACGTACTATCTCGCGTTCTCCCTCTCCTCGCAGCGCTGTGTCTCTCCGTCGTACTACGGCCGGCCTCCTAAGGGAAATTTAGTGTTTTCTATGGTGCTTTTTGCTTTTTCTCCTCACTAATGTTCCTCATTGCACCCCTTGCCTAATGTTTGAACAAAATAAAGCATCAATTCAATCCCGACTCGTGCCTTTAAAAACCACGAAATCACTGGGTCAAATTCCTCCACACAACTATTACAAAATTTGGCGGCGGAAATATTTTCACTGGGCTCTTGCGTGTGTCACAATGGAATCTTTAAAGCCTTTCTAGATGTCAAAAAATTCATCGTTTTATGGCAGCCTAGTACATCACCATTTTGTCCTTAGTCTCCGAATTCGAGAGTGTTTGTGTTCAATTTCTCAATGCGTCGCCTTACACGTGACCGTCCCATCGAAGAGGCAGTTAAAAGATGTTTTTGTTCAAATCTCATTTAGCAACACTTATACACTGGCCCGCCCACCACAGATGGCAACCCATGAGAAGGAAGAAAAATTCGTGACCGGGGCCTGAAAAGAGAACACTATTTTTCAAGTTGAAACTTCAAGATGGGTACTTGAATAATAAAGCAACATTACAAAAAGATAGAATTAAGCTCTATGGTCACTGAGGACAAAAGGGATCCGAGCTTGACTATTTTGCTCTGACGGGTGCCCTTTGACGTCCAACGATGAAATCAGCACTGCGTCGTAAGCAGTCGACGGCAACTTCGTTCCTCATTTTCTGAAGTGCCGGATTCGGACCAACTAAAATGCAGTAGAAAGTCGAAATCTGCTTTGGAACCTTAATAAGGAAACAATCTCATGCAAGTAACACGTAGTAAAAGCAGATTGTGTGAAATCTAAGACGATAGATTACTATGTCATCGCCTTCATTGATGATTCTCTAGAGATTTCAACGTTTTCTAAAGGAACAGTAATGGATTCGTGTTTTTGAATGCTACCTAGGCCCGAAATATCGCTTTACTGGAATGGAATCTCTTATAAACCGAACGCCATCTTGAGGAATAACTCATTTTTTAAAGCAACCACTGAATCATTATTTGCGGCGGAAGGAGTTAACAAATTCCGTCAATATACAAATCATAGAAGGCCAGCCAACATAAGCTCGCGCAGAGGCTCTTTGTATTTTAGGGCATTCTCTAGTCGGACTGCTCCAAGAAAACTTGCACAGATAGAGTCGGTCACTCTCTGGACTAGGTTCGTTCAGCAAGATCTTGAGTAAACTGAGAAAGATCCTATACACTAATCATGCTACTCCCGTTGACTCCACCGTGCGAATGATTCTTCTATTGCGATTTCCCTAGCTGCTGTGAAGTGCTCTTGGTGTGCACAGTTTTCGGCCTATTAATTTTGCCAGGCCCTGGCAGATGTGTACTTAAGCCCCTAGAGCAGCGAAGCTGTTTTGATTACTAGAAGAAGGAATACCGAGTCGTTCTGCGAAGCCGCAGCTCTGAAGACCGTCCTCAGACCATTCCTCGATAACGAGTAGAAGGCTTGAGAAGATTTTTAAAATTTTGCGACCATTCTCCACTGTTTGGTAACAAAAAACGCTCAAAGACGTGTCCTTTACCTTCCAGCCACCCTGTACATTGCGTGCTACACATTACCTGACCATGCGCATAATCGCACCAGTTGATAATGCATGGAATGCCGGAAGGGCTTACCTTCAAAAACATTTTCGAACTCTGCGCAGTTTTCTCCGTATATCGCTGCTGTGCACAGTTGAGCGCTTTCAATATGCGACGTTTGAAATAGAACGTAAGAATAGGTGATGTGATCGCAACACCAGAAGAAATTATGGAGCTAACAGCTTCGACAGGATCTGTGAATGAATTGAGTCCTCCAAATTCACCATATCTGAATATCATCATTCGGATTATCGATGTCTTCAAATAGCCCAAAAAAGCTTACTTTTCCGAGTTGTGGTCAGGGTGCCCATGAATTGCCTGTTCCATGATAATGCAGAGCTGTGTAGCGACACTATGATGCTTTCGACAATGTGATGAAAGCCCCCTGTTGTAGTAAATTGGCAATTCCGCAGTAAAGTCAAACATCCAATTTTTCCAACAACTTCCTTCTTCAACGTTCAATATTAGACCTACAGTTTTCTTGACATTCCACAGACTGATTAGTCCCCTATTCCTCCTTCTACTTTTACCCACCTTTTCAACGATTCCTAGGTGAGCACCCTTGAAGTGTTATTCATATTCCTATTATACAGAGAAGGGAAAAACCGCATTCAATCCTCAACGCTTAGCTAGATAAAGTCTATTAAGCCACTGAGCCCCAAGGTTCACTACCAGAATGTAGTAGCTCATGCTACTAGGTGTGGGTCGGCCTTCAAGACTGCAGTCACTAGCTTCGAGCTAGGTGTTTGTTTAGGTACATTTCTTCTGACTTGCATCCAAATGACAAAATATGACAATCCTAAAGATGTGTGGAAATAGCGCGCCATTTAATCTCTCATGATTTATCATAGAAGAAGATCCGCAAACAAAAGGCTCGGGGTTAAAAAAACTTCTGCGGAAGCTGCTGCCAGCATATGAAATTTGTGGCGCCAGAGTGGCAGGTAAACATTTCCCTACGACGTTAGAACACCTCAAACAGCTTCCAGAGATTGTATTTTCTATATGACTACATGGTAATTTGTATTTGGTACCTGCTATAGTTGACTACAAAACAATCTCTTCTTGTGGCTTTTGTAGCTTATTTTGTTTGTCACATGTTACGTACGGTTGATTGTAGTGGAGCAAGGAAACCTGCATATCGCTGTCAAAAATGCTCAGCATTCTAAGGAGGAGTGTTTGTCCCCTCCAAAATCTTTGTTTACAACAAGTAAGAGGCGAGACCGCGCTGCTGCTGGGACGCTCGCCATGACTTCAATCATTGTCAGCTCCTATCAATGATTATCATCTCCCATCACCCGTTAATTATTTTCCATCCCACCTTCTGTATCATGCCTCAAAATCAATGCTTGAGACGAAATCATTGCTTTGACGACTGCTGCGACGATGCGCGGATATACAGAAAGACACATGCGCACACGCAGACATATACTCAGCGAATTATATATAGTATATGTTTTAGGTATGCAAAAAAAGTCGGTTTTCTGTGTAGTTACGCCTAAAAAAGTCTGAGGAAGCTTTTTTTGACAACGTAGAATCCCTATTAAATCTTGAAACTTAACCTTCGTAATAGTGTGTTCTTGAATAAAAGAATGAGGCGACTACGTATGGACCGACAACGCAAAATGGAGGCGGGGAACCCCTATTCCCCTTGTCGGGCACCTTGAACCCGCGATAACGGGGCATCTGCTACTTTTATTGGCAGCTCTGTCCTACACACCAAAACAACTGGTTCAAGTGAACATAGTTTGTGCCTTTAGAAAAACCGAAGTCCCGAGTGTTGCGGTAGGAAATTCTTTTCAGTAGGAATATAATACCGAGTAATCACATTTTCTGAGGCACATAAGGCCGATGTCGTGATTTGCAAATCGAGCGATTCGCTAGCGAATTGCTGGACCCAAGCGTTGCGCCAGCGAGTCGGGCCTTGCAGCAGCTAATCGAACCTTTTAGCGAATCGACCGATGCACGAGCGAGTCGAGCGATGTACCAGCGGCTCGACACTGTTTGAAAGTGGCGGAACCCATTTGAAGGAAGTCCACTTGAAGACCACACTTCTTGAAAGTGGCGGGCCTTCCTTTAAACGTTGGATCCCGCCAAACAATGTTGAGTCGCTGGTACATAGTTCGACTCGCTGGTGCATTAGATAGCACCCGAAATAAAGAGGAAGGAAGAGCTACGTGACATACCTCAAATTGTCGCATAGTATCATGCATTTGCGTTGCATGGCACTCCTACTATTTAATGGAGCGATCGGAGGAGGTTATCCTAATTTATCGCTGGGTAAGTTTGGAAGTATAATTGAGGCAAACGCGGTGAGTTGGTTCAGGATATTATGCATTGTCAGAATTCTGAAAAGCTACTTCAGGCCCCACTCAATATTGCAATATCTTTGGAAAGCTTTCGAGCTTAAGTCTTTTGAGGCTTTTTGAAATAAATTTTGGAGCATCAAGCTGTTGCTTAAGGTTTAGATCCATATGGGGCCTCGGGATAGCATCATACTAAGTCGTAAATTTGTTCATTACTCATCCTTATACATATTCCCTATTGTCGCTGTTCGCGACGACAGTCGCGGACGCACTGTGCGCCTGGCCTCTGTCACGATCCTTATACATATTCCCTATTGTCGCGGTTCGCGACGACGGTCGTGGGCGCACCGCGCGCCCGGCCCCTGTCGCGCCGTTGGTCGCTTGGCGGCGCACGCACCGGCGAGAGGCGCGTGCTCCGCCTCCGGCCACGCCTCCAGCCGAGGCCTATATAAAGGGTCGCCTCTGCCAGTCGGCGCTCTTCGTCTCCTCCGGGAGAGACGGTCGTCGGGCAACGCGAGGAAGGCGAACGGCTAGGGGTGCCTGCTAGCACCCGTCAGCATGTTCGGGCATGCTGTCCCGTTCGCTCGGAGCGCTGGTAAGTTAGTGTCCCGCTACACCCGAGGGACACTATCGGCTGCAGGCCGTTGTTACCGCTGTTACCGCTATTGGCTGGACGACTACAAGCGTTGGCCGGGCTTCTCCACGCTCGGCAGGAAGTTAAGTTAGTGCGTCGAAGGACGTTATCGCCAATAAACTGTGAGTCCAAGATGTGTAGTGTTGTGTACAAGTATAGCAGCACGGGTAAGCTTGGGGGAGCGCCAGGGCTGGGGCCCGATTAAGGCGCAATAGGTCATCATGTGCTGCAAGCATCAAGGGGTTGTTACCGCGGGGCATGGCCCTGTAACCCCCCGTTCCTGGGTTAGGAACCCTGTAAGGCCCCGGGGTGCGGAGGTCATGCGTGCGGGAAACCGCATGATCCCCGGGAAGGACCCGTAGAACGACGTGTGCCTGGGAAAGGCCACGGGGGCCCCGAACCACCTCGATGCGTCGTGTTGGAGGGTTAGGAGGGCAACCGCTTCCCGAACCACGATACCTATGTCATATTTTATGTGGGCATTGAGGAAGAAGAAATTCAAAGGTTGCCACTATAAGGGTGAGTGTTGGGTAAGGCGGAACTTCCTAGTAAGAGACAGGCTAGCTAGCTCCTAGCTCAAGTGGCGCGCTGTTGGTATGCCCCCTCTCGCGTCGTCTCGTGTCTGAGTCTCTAGCCAGTTCAGCAGAGAGCGTTAGCGTTGAAGAGGGCAGCACCGATGAGAGTCGCATCAATGCGCAAATCAAGGCAAGGAAAGAATTCCCATTTCTCGGGTTCTTAGCCGTGGTCCTCGATTTTGCTTCTTTCATGCATCACGATCATCTGCAACTTAATTTCTAGTGGGCTGCGTTTTCATGGTAAAATCCGCCTTTGCGAGTGTGATGACCAATATGACATGATATCACTTCATTACAAACCACAAGCTTAGTGTGTCGTTCTACCGGTGTGTTGTCGCTCTGTCCGTCAGTAAACTGAAGGCCTCTGTTTGAAATAAACTGACCGCTCACACAACCGGAGAGCTCGGAGGTCTACGCTCGTTTGTCAATGCCATGATTGTGATAACACCCAAAATGGCTACATAAGCATCGACTGAGCACTCGGTCATTCTCCTTGGTGATGTAGCGGCAGACGGAGAGCTCAGAGAGGACGTATCAAGGTATAATTTCAAGGTGAAAGCATAATTCTGGTAACACCCACAAGGCCGGACTTCTTGAGTGAAGCTGCTTTTTTTGTCTCATAGTAGCTATGTTGTGAATCGCGAATATTTCCATACTATCTGAGTGTTACATAAATTGTTCCCCTTTCTTCTTTGAAGTGACCTAGAGGACCATATATTTGCATAGGAGCCGCTGCAATTATCGAGCAATACTGTACTTATTCGAGCCTTTTTCCTTATTTATTACACTTACTATTTTTGCGTCGATAACACGGATAGAAAAGTCACAAATTTTTTGGTTTTCTATGATCATTCCATCCAGAAGAGTAGAACTTTACAAAGACGTGGGGGGGGGGGCGCTTTTAAGAGGAACCATCTAGAGTTTCAAATCCTTCTTACCACTTCTCAGCTTTCATAACTAAGGAGAACTACGGTCGGTCCATAATTGAGACAATTTGGGTGTTTTTGGCTTAATTTTTATTTTATTTATTTGGTGTATTTATTCAACATAGTACACATCACCGCATGTAATTATGAGGACGCGCCATGGTGGGCGGACGCGTGAACGTGGTTGCACGCTGCTCCCTCGTCTTGTAGAATTCCATAGTTCTGAAACGAAGAAAGACTTCCTATTACGATTTGACTCAGTGGTGATTAAAGTAAGATTGTTGCTCTTCTCAGAACATGATACTAGAAACGAAGGAGCGGATGGTGGTGCGTGCACAAGGTCAGAATTCTCTTAGCAAGGGGGACTCAAATGACTACAGCAGAAAACGGATTTTGTCTTATTTTGCTTTCAGTCTGAGAGCGTTGCCATCAAGCTGTCAACGATTATTTTGACAACTGATCGCTGGATTGTATTGTACCAACTCCCAGAACAAAGTCTCTCTCGTGTCCGCCAAGACTTGCAAAGTTAGATTTCAGAATGAGTTGTGCCTCGCTGTCAGAACTAACGAGTCGTTTAAGCCTAAGCTGTTACGAGTTGTGGCTTTCTTAGCACTTTGCACCTGGTCCATACCGCCTATGAGTATGCTGAATGGTCATTCTTAGGGAGTATGGGAAACAACAGAAACATGAAACATGATGATGTCGATAGGTTCTAGAGATGATTCGGGCTCAGAGCATGTGAGGTACAAGCTTCATATCCTCAAATCTTAGCGACTTTATTGACTTGCCTT